CCCCCCCCCCTCGCGCCTGGCGAAGATGGAAGCTGCCGCAAGTATGCGCCAGCATGTTGTCCGTCCTCAAGCGGAAAGCGATGCGTCCAAACGCCTCCGATCAAGGCTATCTCTCTCGTACCTCGATCGCGAGGCCGGATCGCGAAAGCATTCCGCCCGCAACACATAAACACGCTGGCTCCCACAGTATCATCCCGCCATCCAAGCCGAGTCACTTCCTCCTTGTGGCGCCTGAGAAGTTCGCGACAGCCACCCGGCACGGCAAGGTTCGGCGATCGCAGCGTACACTGGCGATCTTTGCGCCGGCTCGCGAAGAATCGATACTCTGCATGGCGCCACTTCCACATCGCTGTGCCCAAGAGTCAAGATACCTTTCCTTACCGCTCGAGTCAGCTAGACAAGGCAAAGCAAGTCACGAGTATGGCGCAAGCAAATGATGGGATGCAAGCCGCGCGCTCTGAGCGCCCCCAGCTCCGCTCCCTGTTTCCTGCTCCCACACGCCGACACTTGCCCAAGTGGCGCTTTGTTGAGCTCGCAAGGCGCCGCGAGATAAGAATCGTTATGTTACAATGTAATCATTCGCCGCATTGAGATGACCCCAAGGCACCTTGCGAGCGCGTTGCTGCTGACATGTAAACGCAGCACCGATCAACAGACTTATCATCACTCATGGACAAAAGACGAGGCTTCTGGTCGGTCCTTACGTGACCGTCAGTCGTCATCACTCTTGCGCTCCGCGTTCGTCACTCCCATTTGCCACTCTGCTCCACTTCGGAGCTGTTGAATTACTCAGAAGCACAGACCGCCATGAAACGAAAACAAAAAAGGCGCCGGGCGGGTAGGACGTCGAGCTCGCTCTTGGGCGACAAGACGGATGTACGGGAGGCAAGGACACACTCGCAGGTACAAAAAGGTACGCTACGTCAGGCGTCGATCTCCGTGCTTCCTCATCAAAGTCGCAGCAGGGCTCGACTGACCAGGTCTTCCATCATCAAATACTTTTGCCCAGCCACCGCAAGACTTGGTTCTGACACCGTCACAACTCGAGTCAAGTTCAACGTCTGACCACGATGGTGGACTTTCTGGGCATCGTGATTGCTGCCGCTCTCGTGTTCAAGGATGCACAAGCCCTTCCCAGCTATATCGAGGACATGTTCCCTCAGTCGACAATGCTGGCGATGAGGTCGCCCAGTGGGGTAGGTGCGAGCACAGAGATTGAAGCAGGACTCCGTTCGGTAAGTCAAATTTCTCTTCCCCCTTCATCCCCTTAATAGGCTGACGACACTCGATTTCTCCACCTTAAGCTTATGTCCGCAGAGGGTCACATACCTGCTAGCAAAGGCTTACGGCGCACCGACAAGTTCAAAGATCTGCACTATCTCAAGCAAGAGAGCAAAAAGGGTCGCAACGTCGCAAGTCTAAGAGAAGGAGCAAGAGGCGCAGAGGTGTCTGGCGAAGAGCAGTCGAGCGACCCATTGGGCATCGTTCGACCTTTTCGCCCAGAGAGTCATGAGTACGATTCGGGAGGGAGTCGAACCACAGCTCAGATCGCTGGTAGGTCTGTGTGAAACGTTGTTTAGAGCTTGTTCAGCACAGCGCTGAAGGGATGACATGGGCTTCCTGTCGCAGGCAGTCACTAGCCCGCGGCTGAATATTGGCTCAAGGAAGAGCTCCAACTTCGTGAGTGCAGCTGTGGGATGCGAGCCATCCTTCAAATGCTGACAGCCGTCACGCTCTGCCTCGCACCATCTCGGCTTCACCGAGAATGAGAAATGGCAAGTCGCTCGTACGCGTAGTTAGCGACTTGTCGCGAAAGGCCCTAAAACGCGCCTCAAGCGGGCAAGGGCCTTCGGCACACTGGTCTTCATGAAGTCTGTGCTTGCATTGCAGAGCGGGCCTTCCGCTTGCGGTAGACGAATTACAAAATCAATTTTTATGAAGTGACCTCAACCTGTGAATGATGAGGCTCTCGCTTGATTCAAGTCAAGAGAGTGAGACAGTCGCTTTGATCTGGTTACATGCATCTCGCTGAGCTTTATGCTGCAGCATGACACCGACAGAGCGTGATTAGAAGCGAGCGCATCGACCAGTCCGGGCCACGCCCGTCGAGAATTGTTCTGCATTTACGGCTGCCTTTGAGCGTCCTTTAGTGGTTGTTCTGACATCGAGGACTCTTCGCGTTGTCGAGGTAGAGGACCCTGATACGAGCCGCTATCGGTAAGCCCAAGTGAAGGTTCGAGCTGTGGTTCACCTAGTCGTTGCGGACCACCGCTGCCTTCGCCCACCAGCCAGGGACGCCTAGGAATGGGGGGTCTCTTGTACAGCAGCCGTTGAACTTGAACGGGTCTTCTCGGTCGTCTGAGTTCATGGCTGTACTTGAAAGGTCTGCCGCGAGGACGATCGAGCTCAGCATGCCCAAGGTGCCCCTCGACTCCATCATCTTTGCCATTCAAGCGCATTCGTTTGATTTTCGCTTTGGCTCTGAAACGAGCCTGAGCTCGGGATATCCTGACTTGTTTATCCACCTCCACAGGCAGGCCCACACTGGCGTTGGGGTGTCAAGACTATTATTCAGTTTGGAAAACTCAGCTGCCCCGATCATTCGCCCCGACCACTTACGATCGCTGGACGTCCTCCACGCCTCTATCCCATTCATGATCCACCAGCGCTTTGCGACCATTTTTTCTCATCCCAACATTGAATGACCATCCAGGAGCCAGGAATACTTGGTGCGTGTCCTTTCCCGTCTGCGAATGGAGGACAGGCTCTCTGCGAGCGTCTCCCACTTTTCCATAGAAGTGCCACTTTGGCTCATGGACGGTGCGCATGACATGTGAAATCATCTAAATCGAAGAGAGGGAGCACATTAACATCTTCATTCGATCGCAACGAGCACGCAGCCGTAGCGCACCTCAAAGTGATGCATTTCCGGTAATTCCTTGCGGTGGTGTTGAATTGCATGGTACACCACCGCTTTCTCCATGCTTCCAAGGCCCGATCTGAATCTGTCAGTATTCAGCTGGACGGGTGTGGGTGGGGCCCTCTTCACCAGATTAGCACCTTTACGCGGATTCGCCAAGTCAAAGCGCGAATCTTGTCGTTCACGAACAATGTTTCTTGGGCTCTTCGAGCTAGAGGGGAACGAGCGCCGAACGTGAGGGAGCCGCGGCAAGTGGGAGATGTGCGACATCGTCCTGAGATGTGGAAGCTTGTGGACCGCCCCGTCGCGCATAGAAGAGGGGCGAGAGACATCGAGCTCTGGATCAGGCGGCAGGTTGAGGTCTTGCTGAAATACGATGCGCCGTTTCTTGGCAGGACTGGTTGGAACGTCGGGCTCTCTGAGCTCTGACCGATCTTTGACGCGCTGTTTGTACTGTTCAGCCCCAGTTTCACCGGTAGTAGTGTCGACCCGAATTGCGTGAGCAACTCTCCGAAGGGCGGCGTTGTTGCGCGGCAAGGATCCAAACGCTTTTTTGTATCTTTGAACCAGGCGTTGCTGATGCATGGTGCTATAAGAAGGTGCTGAAGGGACGAATCGAAGCGATTCCGGAACGGGGACGTTGTTGTCCACGTACCACTTGTGCCACTTCTTTGCCGTTACAATCGTGACGGGCCGGTCTTGTGGTCCCTCTTTGTAATGTCTCAGGACAACTGGTTTGTCTTTCATCGTCACAAGCGGCATTTTGTAGGTGCCGTATTTGGACCACTGTGGGTACAGTGGTGCGCGGTCCGACATTGCATCCTCAGCGGCGCTGTGCACCGTGTCTGAGCTAGCTTCGAGGCGCGGGTGGTGAACATCCTCGCCGCTGGCCCGCTTGGTGAAAGTAGTGGAGCTGGACCGTGTTGGAGCAGAGGTTGCACTCATCAATCCCAAGGGAATCCTCGATTTCGCAGTAATTGTTGGATCGAGAATTTGATCAACCCCTTCTCCTCTCGAGGCCAGGTTGTCGATGTTCCCAGCGGCAACAAAGAGCGGGGAGCCCAGGGCTCTGCGCTCTGGAGGCGGTGAGGGAGGACTAGGCTCTATCCATTCTGGCCGGTCGAGCTGGTGCTTCAGAGGCACGTATCGCGGAGCATTTGCGTTCAAACTCGGTCTCGAACTTGAGCTCGAAGAGCCAGGCGTCCCATGACGCGCCGCGTCTAGAGGAAAGGACCTGAGAGCATAACGTTGCCTTTTCAACCACCTGTTGGATCCTTCCGTCAGCGGAAGCGGGTTCGGCCCGCGTGGCCTAATGTTTCCCTTGTGATACGTCATGTCACCCTCGTGCATTCTCACCGAGTACGCCAGAGGGACTGTATGAACCTGCGAGCGCGTCTCCGGATGCAGAAAGTGCTCGCCGTCGTGGCTAAAGCGGACTTCCGTCCTGGGTACAGGCTCGCCCTCATGCTTAGTCATCGGCTGTAGAATCTGTAACGAGAATGATAAAGTAAGTACAGTGGTTCTATCAATGCCGGCTGCGTCTCGCGCAGGTACACCTCGATGTCCCACTCACCTCGGCGTCGAGTGGCTCTTCAGGATGCGCATAGGCTTTCTGGAAGTGATCGGGATTCTGCGCTACGTAGTGAAGGATTGAATCCTTGATGGCCCAGTACTGACGTGTCGGGAGATGACCGACCTCGTCTGCGGGCTTGACTGTCACAAATGGCAGATCCTTTGGCCATTTGTGGCTCGAGGGCTTGGCGGCGACTTGTGCAGCATCCCTAACGCCGGTTGGCGTATTGAGGCCAGAAACGTAGAAGAGAAGGCACCATAGGACCAACAGTACCGCCGCACCTTTGACACCACCTTGGTGGCTCATTCTGGTTGTAAAATGAAGCACGCTGTGACTGCGAGTGTCAAAATGAAGGCTAAAACGAAGTTTGGGTTTACAAGATGGCCGAATAACTCGATGGCGTCCGCCGGCAAGTCACCTCAGGCTTCGTCGAGCGTACAGCGCGTTTCGCGTCGGAGGGCCAGGGAGGCCAAAGTCTCCGGTCGTGGATGCAGAGGTCTTACATCCGCATTTGACGCTGTCGAGTGTATGGTGGGTATAAAGAGTCTGGAAGCTATGCGCCGCTGACTTTAAATGTCATGTGGCCAACATTTGCCACTGTGCAAGACTGGCGCAGCGTCTCTCGGGCCAAGCGGGCGCGTCTGTGTACATCGCTACGTTGCCGACCAAAATGATCAGGAACATGCGCTTCGCTCCTGTCCACCGCGAGGATAGCTCCTGCACCGGATGACGTGTGGCAACGATCTGAGTCGGGAAGGCCGTGGCGAAGTGTGGCAAGAAGAGCGATGGGGTGGATCCTGCACGTGTAATGAGTGTAGCTTCGCCAGCTCGTGCGCCTTTCGGTGGGCAACGACTGCAGTCACAACGGGAAACAGTGGAGTGACGCAACACCTCTTGCGCTGTCCGCCCCTCAACGACCTCCTCTGCGCCCAATGCAATGGCAACACCGTCTTGTTGAGCTCATGCAAGATTGCTACCGGCTGCCAAATGAGAGGATTTTGACGCAACGCCACTTGCGTAGAGTAGCGCAAGTGATCGGTCTTTGCCACCAGAGCGTGCTTTGGGGGACAGCGGGTGTGAATCGGTTCATGTTTGTCCCCAAAATTTGATCCAGAAGAAAGGATGGCGAGCGATCGAGACAGAGGCAAGCCTGGGCTGCTCGTTAAACCTCCGCCACGTGCTTCACCTCAGTGGCACGCATGTCACACACACTTTCTTGAAAAACTTCAAGCTCCCTTGAAGTCTGCACGTCGCTTTGTGTACTTTGAATGTAGAAAGGTGATTTGCAGGTCGCATCAGTGCGGCGAGTCGTGCGAGAGTTCCACTAGTGATTATTGCGATGAGCGGCCTCATCTGGCCAGTTGTCTAAATTGAGCCAATTTGACGGAGAATCGGGGTGGCGAATGGGTTGTGTCACAGAAGAGCTAGCTTTGGGAGACACGTGGTTGGTGTCTGGAGTACCAGCCCGCGAGGAGTGCGGAGACCAATGGTTCAGGTTCAACCAGTCCGATGGAGAATCGGGCTGAGGGGTCTCGCGCGTGGGAGAAGAAGCGGCACCGCGTGGTCTGCCATCATGGACAGAAGCGAAACTCTGCGGTCCACTATCATTGTGAACTGCTTCAGCTTCCGATGCACTCCTGTCTTTGTCTGTGCCTTTAGATTCAGGTGCAGTCCCCTTTGAGGGTGGAAGCGGACGGGGAGTCGCTATTGCAAGTGGTCGCTGACGCTTGAGATTAGGCCTACCGGGTTTGCGATGCTCAGATCCTGTTGCGTTGTCCAATTTTGGCTTTGGCCGAAACCGTCCGTCGGGTCCTCGGGGTGGACACCGGCCAGGCGGGGTGAAGAAATTGTCGATATGCTTGACTGCCTCCTTACCAAAGTCTATTCTTGGTCTGCACCCTCGCAGAGACTCTCTCACCAACGCATTGTCGTTGATGGATGTTCTCGTTCGCGCTCTCGCCTCTGGCAATTGCGAGTGGACCTTCCATCCATTATCACGAACGTAAGAGGAGCCTGGAGCCATGAAGACGTGATGATGCTCGAAATTATCTCCTCTTGAAGTCGTGCCGCCCCCTTCGATGATGTTATGATATTCATCGTACGCTCGGCCAATGGCGTGTAGAGCCGGCTCTGAAACAGCAGGCCCGAAAGGCTTGTCGACCTGCCTAAGTGATGGACGAGCACATCAGCAACATGCTGCCTGTCCGTAGCTTTGGTGAGCAACACTCACGATGAAGCCCTTCATGTCGGGGACGAACAGTTTCTTGTGAAGATGGATTGCCTCTATCAAAGCGGCGCGCTCCGACTCATTGCCGTGACGCCCAAAGCTGATGGCGACCGGCGCAACAGGGCTGAAGGGGTTGTCATAGATGTTGTCGAGCTCCTTCAAGGGTGCTTTGAGCTCAGTATCCCCGAATACTTTGTTCGTCTTGGTTATCTTATGGCTGTGGACCCTGTGTCCAGTTGGCTTCTTCAGCTGCTTGTCTACGTTCCCACCATTTGAGGTCGACGCGCTTGTCGCGTGTTCTGCTGCTTCTTTCAACCAGGAGCTCTCTCCAGAAAGACCCCGACGGAGGTTTGGATTTGCGCGATCAGTCGCTGCGAATTTAGGACGTATGCTCGTTCGCCGATGCAGACTTGGCGTATTTTGGCTCTGGTGACCATAGTCGGGCAATCGAATGGCCAAGCTCTGTGCGACAAGGGCGGCGAGGAAAATCGTTTGCGCATTTGTGTAGAGCATTGTGCTTGAAAGGCCGGTGGAGCGTGAAAAGGACGGGATGCTAATGTTACAGCGATCCGATGAAGTGCTGGAGAAAAGAGTCTGACATCAACGTTCTTCGGTAGATTGAGCTTTTGAGAGTGAGTCGCCCTCCGTTGACTAGACAAATGCACCCCAGAGCTCGACGCGGAGGGCGGCGGCACGAGCTTTCATTGCCACTGGTAAGAGTGGCGGGAACGCATGAGATGGCGGATGCGCAAGGGGCAAATTAAGAGCGAGCGCTCCAATTTCAGTCTCATCGATTTGCCACCTGAGCATCACCTAAGTCCGAGCCAATGGAGACACGAGATCGCGAAGTGGGATGCAAGAGCTGCGTGACTATTGTTGTAGCCGGGCTATGGACACACTCAAAAGCTGATTGTGCACTGTGCGAAGGGCAGCGTAACCGTTGCGCAGGTATGTGACGCAGTCACCTGAGCGGCCTAGTCGCGCGACAAGAGACCCAACGCCGAGGCTTTTTGAAGAACAGCAGCTAACGTTCGAGTGCTTCCAGTGAGGCCCACAAATGTGCGGTAGATGCGGCCCTGTCTCAGAAACCTATTTTCAGAGTAGTGTCTCCTGCACGCATCTTCCAACGCTCTGGTCTGCAACGCGGGAAATGTGCGAAAATCATCCTGTCGATTAGCTTCGACGAGCTCACACAAACAACTTCGTATAGCACGCTGCTCACCTCGTGTTCGCTCCAGAAAGACCCAGCTGTCGGGCCCGAAGGTGGACGCGCAGTGTGATAAACAGGCGGCTGGCGGAAAGGAGCTGACGATGTTGAAGCTTGGGCAGCAGTGGACGCAAAGGGCGAGGCAGAGGTCTGACCTGTCGCGCTATGACCTGATCTGTGCGCAACAGGATTTCTGCCGAGCGGAGGAGCTCTTCGCAAGCTTTCAGAACGCTCTGCAGCTCTATTGCTCCCCCCATCTGTTATATCGTTCGCGCTCTCTTTCTCACTTTCGGCTTCTCGAGCTCGCTTTCGCTTCTTCTCTCGTTTGCTCAGTCGTTCCTCCGTCTCACTCGCGGCCGATCTTTTCTTCTTTGCTTTCTCCTTCCTCTTGCCGTCATCCTTCCGCTTATAGAACGCATAGAATTCCTCGAACATTTTCCTCAAATCCCGTCGACCACTCTGATCTTCATCAGAGCCCTCGTCCGAACCGGAAGAGAGGTCACGTTCCCATTCGGAGAAGCGAGGTTCTGAATCGTCTTCGCTCCTTCCACTCTGGCTTCCCCTGCCAGCCGATTCTTTGCCCTTGACGCTCGACGATGTCTTGGGGTGCGGAGTAGCCGATTTTGAAGCCTTCTTCTTGTTCTTGGACGACGTAGCAGAGCTGCTTGAGCCCAGCGCTTGTGATGGAAGAGCACCAGCGGCCGCTTCTGCTCGGTGCTGCTCCCTCTCCGTAGCTCGCCTGGCTCTGTGCCGTGCGACCTGCCTCTCAAGCCTGTCCGCTTGCCTGAGCTCAGTTCGAGTCAGCGTCGCAGCCTTCTGCTTGGCTGCGAGTCGGTTGCGCTCTCGCAGCTCTAGTCTTTCTAACGTGTCCGTCGACGAAGCTCCCACTGATGATCTCGACGAGCTCGTGCCTGATCTTGCAAGATTCGAATCTCGCTGCAGAGAGGCGATCGCAGGATTGACCGGTCCAGCCGATATTTCCGACTCGGATGACGTGGTGCTCTCCGAGAAAGACGAAGTGGTGACCGATGAGTCTGACGAGATGCTCACCGCTCGGTCCCTACCGTTTGTGCCTGGAAGTTGAGAAGAAGCTGATGCATGCGTCGAAGGATCAAGAGCGCTAGGCTTGGTGTCTCTAGGCGAAAGCGAGGTCCTAAAGACTGGCTCTACGTCTTCGGTCTGAGTTGGGATTGGTGCTGTGCTACGGGAGGGGCCTGCTTCATTGCCGAGCGATTGTGGGCGATTTGACAAGGAGATTGACGCGTGTGTTGATGATTGAGAAGCTTGGTGCATGGATCTTGGCGCGGTAGGAGGATTGGCAGCTGTGCTGAGCGGGCCGACTCTCAGGGCTACTGCAGGTCTGCCTTGGTCCACCGACTTCGCCTTCATCTGCAGCACAGACTCCGATACCACGAGAGCGCCTTCTCGACGCTTGATGTCCGCTTCCCGTTTAGAGAGCGCAGCTTCCCTCTCTTCTAAACGCTTCTCTCTGCTTTCCAGTGCACCTTCTTTCAAGCTGACCATCTCTTCCCTTTCGCCTGCTTTCCACTCTCTTTCGCATACATTTGCTTCTCGATCCTCGGGAGCCATTTCGCAGAGCTCCAATGTGGAGCGCAAAAGGTCTGGTGGAGCATCTTCGCGCAAGTGATAAGCGTTCGTGGTGTGCCAAGCAGCACATTGCACTTGCCTCATCCAGTGGTACTTGCGCGCATTCTCCCTCTGATCCTCCGGATTTCCGTCGACCTGCTCTCGTCTGAGCTCTCTACGCAGGGCAGGGTCCGAAACGAAAATTCGAGCAAGGCCATCAACTTTGTTGCCTTTAATTCGCAGGGTGCCTTTCAAAGAATTGCTTAGCTGCCGCCAAAGCGTCTGCGATACGATACCAGTAATGGCGATCATGCAGTGCTCTTTCTCGCTCTTCGACGGGTTCGGCTTCTTTGCCTTGTCTTTTCCGGGTACTGGTGCACTTGGCTTTTTTGCCTTGCCTTTTCCAGAGATTTGTGCACCCTTGCTGCTTTGACCACGCGGCTCTTTCAAGGCTAGGAGAGGAGTGTCAGGCTCCTGTCCTCTCAAGGTGTAATGATGACCACTCGTAGGGCGCTCTCTTTCGGGGCTCCTGCTGTGCTGGCTGTGTCTACCATTGCTGTTGCCATTGTCGTAGCCGTAGCCGTAGCCGTAGCCGTTGCCATAGCCATAGCTACTGCTCGACCCTTCACCTCTCGGGGGCTCGTTTGCCTGATGAGTCGCATGCCATGATGAGTTGTGCGAGTCAACGGGTTGCCAGCTTGGACCAGCGTGACTTGCGGAGTCCGCACGAGCGTATGGCGCCTGATGAGCAGCCGCGCCGTGTTCCCTCCCATTCACCTGAAACGACATCTTCTCGTATCGCCTATCATGGACTTTCGCGACGGAGCGTGCAGGCTGGCAGGCTGTCGATCGAGTAGAGGAGATGCCAAGCTGTGCACAGGGTGTAGCTTCAGCTGGCAGCCACGAGAAAGGACAGGTCTAGAAAAGGTGTGATAGATGGCACCATGCACAGCCGATATGTCAGCTGCTATTCGACCACCCAGCACGCTTCTTCTCATGTCTGCGTGATCAAAAGTTCTTGGGGGCACGCCCGCGAGCGCGCGGTTTTGTATATGTTCAAGTTGAGGTGGAGAAGAAGCATCACGTGACCACCAAATTTATGGCAGTCAAGTCAAGATGGGTTCAAATTCAAGATTCTTGATTCCAAAGCCAAGGAAGTCCGCTCAATGTGAATGCATGCGCGCATTTTGCGCTCAGCTTGCTGATGAAGCTTCATCCTTCCACACCATCAAACATTCAGATTCAGCATTCTTGATTCACATTCACTCACCATCCTTGATCCGTGTTGATTCATACTCACGCGTTCCTCTGGGAGGTCGCTCGAGCTCGACCTTGCACCTCAACCTCGTAGTATTGCTGTTGACTGTCCCACTCACGACTCACCATCAGCATCTTCCATACACATCAGCCCCAAAAGACCGCGCGCACCTCCATCTCTTCCCAGAGTCGCGCGGGTCGGGAGCTGCCAATTCGAGTGCGCTACTTTATTCGGTAGTCAGCTACACGCGCGCCTCGAGACGCACTTCTCATCTCCTCTTTGCATGGCTCTCGCCTATGGAGCAGACTCGACTTTGTTCAGCCAACTTGGTCCAACGTACGCTCCATCGCCTGCTCAGAAACGCGTTCATCCCCAGCAGCCCTTTTGTATCCATTCCACCAAAACTTCCCACCGAAGCAAGAAGCACACGTCCCGTTCCCGCCGATACAACTTCTCTTCCTACGTCACTTCATTCGCAATCGGCACAGGATATGCCCGCCGTCAGAACTCCTACCAGTGCGAGCAGCGCAGCTTCGACCATCGGCGCTGGTAAATCAAGAAGCAAGGCTGGCGGTCAAGCTTCCGTGCAGAAGCCTCCACGTCTCTTTCCAAACACAAAGCCAGTCAAGCCAGGAAGCAATTGGTCCAAGCTGAGAAAGGTGAGCTGAGCTTACCTGAGAACCTTGCCTCATGATTTCAAGGGTGAGCTGACCTTTTCCCCTCCGGCTTACATGCTTCTTGACCCACCCACCACAAAGTCTTTACCAACCAACGGATTTGCTCAAGCCGAAGCTTTGCGCAAGAAGCGGCGATTATCGTCCGCGCAAATGTCGGAGCTTTCAAGAATCTCTTCACCGGAAGCTTCTTCTTCCAGAAATGCTTTTGGTTCTCCAGTGCCGACCACTTTACCCTGGTTCGCCGAGGATTTGGACCCGGAGGACCTGGAGATGGTCAGGCGGAGCCATGCGGATCCTTCTGCTCTTCTTGATAAGGGCAAAACCCCTTTGAAGGGAAGCGGAGTGATGAGCGATGAGGCACTCAAGATGCAAGTGATTCTTGGAGGTAATTCAAAAGATTCGGAGGGCAAGAGAGAGTGAGTGGACACACACGAACACAGCAGCACGAGGGGCACGCATACTCATTACTCGCCCCCCTTTCCCTCGTGTGTCGTGCGCCAGAGTGGGGCAATACCTGGCGCTGGACTGCGAAATGGTAGGAGTGGGAGCTCAAGGCTCCGAATCGGTCTTGGCAAGAGTATCGGTGGTGAATTGGCACGGGCACTGCGTGCTCGACACCTTCGTCAAGCCCAAAGAAGCAGTGACAGACTATCGGACATGGGTGTCTGGCGTACGAGCAGCGAATCTAAAGAACGCGCCTTCGTTCGAAGAGGTTCAAGAACGGGTCAGCAAGCTGATCCACGGCAGAGTGCTCATCGGGCATGCGGTGCACAACGATCTGTCCGCTCTGCTCTTGGATCATCCTCGTAGAGATATACGCGACACGGCGAAATTTCAACCTTTGCGAGATCTGGCCAAATCAAAGTATCCAGGTTTGAGGAAATTGGCAAGTCTGGTGTTGGGCATCGACATTCAAAAGGCTGGCAGGTCTCATTCTTCGATCGAGGATGCTCAAGCTACCATGGCCATCTATCGTACTCAACATTCCGCCTGGCAAAAATCTTTGGGCCGCAATGTACCCACGAGCTGGGAGGTGGAGGAAGAGGCGGACGAAGAGCTGGCCGATACGACCGCTGATGGTGCTGAGCCTCCTCGCGTCGCGTCGGCGCAGCACAGTAGCAAGCCCCTCAAGAAGCCAGCAAACATAATTCAACCTAGACCTAGAAAGCCTTCGGCGACGAGCAATAGGCCCGCACAAGCTCGAGCGAAGCACACCGCTGCTCCTGGCTGGTGGAACGAATGAACAGCCACGCACGCTTCTTGAATGCACTTAGCAAGACAAGCACTGGCAACTGCATTCGTGATCATCATCACGATACATCTTGGACATCTCAGAGGCGCCATATTCGAATTGAGCCTATACGTCTGCAACAAGCGCTGTGACATATAAAGGCATGACAGAAATTCGCTTTCTGTTTGGTCTGGGTCTAGTCCGCAAATAATAGCTCGAGGTTCTGTCGTGATTATAGAGGATGCGATTCGAGGGTGAGCACAAGAGCCGGCTGAATATGCCCAGCACGACTCACCTGCAGCGCCTCAGATTTATCGCTATCACCCGAGCCTGCAAGAGCCGCGCCAGCCAAGGCGTGTTTGCGGTTCTGCAAAGCGATGATGCGCTCATCGATCGTATTTTCCACAATGACGCGGTGCACAGTCACGTCTCTCATTTGACCGATCCGGTGTATGCGATCGATCGCTTGCTCTTCTGCTGCTTTGTTCCACCAATGGTCCATCATCCTGTCGTACACAGGCACGCCATGGTGTCAGTAAGCGCACACGAGTCGGAACATGCAACTTCTTGTACTCCAGCATCGTCACTCACCAAACCCTGGTGGCAGAAGTCATGTTGATGCCCACACCAGCAGCTTTCAAGCTGCACAGCATCAGCAGACTCCCATCCGCAGCCGCAAAAGCCTTGAGTACCGCTTCTCGCTCCTTTTGACTTGTGGAGCCGTCGAGCCTGACGAATGCATGCTTGTGCCGCTTCAAAATCTGCTCGATCAGATCTAGAAACGATGTGAAGGAGCTGAACACAACACCTTTGAAGCCCGGCTCTGAAAGGCGCAACTCGTTGAGATCTTGAACGAGCTAGCCGAGCATACGCAAAGGCGACCGCGTAAGGATTGGGTGGTGTAGGACTCGATGTGAAGGCATCTATCTACTCACTGCTTCCAGCTTCGTGCTGCTGCGAAAGTTGTTGCGCTGGAAATAGACCGAGGCTTGTGAAGAGGGTGCTTCATCGTCCTCCTCTTGCTGTGCATCAGGGTCGTGCTCTGCCAACTGCGCTTGCTTCTTGCGCAACCGCACGGCAGTGATGAGATCCGAAGCACTGAAGGGACCCTGGTCACACGTTGGACACCTGGGCTTTTCGTCACGCGCTTCGCACCTCTCTATGTGCTGCATGAGGCAATTGCGACAACCGCGGTGCTTGCACGGCATGAAGCACGTTTCCGCAAGTTCTTCGAAACAGAACGGGCACTCGGCTTCGGTCTCGTCATTCTCAGCCTGCGCAGTCATAAATTCGCATCGTCAAACACGGCGATCGCAGGTGAGCTGACTGCCAGGGCGACTCACCATCATCTTTGATATCGCTTGCATGTCGAGGCCATCGGTACTCCCATTGTCATCGCGGGTGCCATCTACCTCGTCTATGCCTTTCTGATACTCCAGAATCAATCGCTGCAATTCACGCTCCTCCGCTACCTCTTCTTCCATGTCCGCCTGCGAATCAGCGATTTCCTCAGGGACATCAGGATTCGGGCCAGCTCTTGGTTTGGCCGTCGCTTTCAAGACCAGTAGCGGATGGCAGACAGCTTGGCGGAGCCGGAGCAAAACAGTGAAAATACGAGCGTAGTTCCGCCCGACTGCTCCAATGGCGTTCAGTCTCTTATACTGCAGTGCTGCACGGGTATAGACAGACTCATATATCTCCCGCTCCAGTGCGCTGAATTTGAGGCGCTTAGTGACGATCTGGCGTGACGAGTACAATCGCAGGGCGGGGCATGTTAGCATCGCGCGTCGTCGCGTGATTGGGCAGTGACTGCAAGTGCTCACCTTCTTCTCAGGCAGCACTACCAGCGCGTTGCCATCCTTGTCTCTGCTTGACTTTTCACGCCGCAGAAGAACAGACTCCAAAACAACCTGAACAACTTGAAGCGCCTTGGGGTTCTTGTTTGCAAATGGCTTCGCGATGAATGTGTTGAAGAAAGAAAAGTCTCCCCAGGGCTCGACACGAAGGAAGCGAAGGAGCGAGAAAAGATCGCTGACTCGATTGACGATCCTGAGAAGCGGCGCATCAAGGTCAGTACAGAACGCAAAGCGATGACTCGGAGATACTTCGTGCTCACGGAGTGCCTGAGCGATGAATAACACGGGACCTAGGGGAGTCTCAGCAAGCCATATCAAGTCCCGACCGCCGCCAAGCGGACACTCACCTGTCAAACACCATCTTCTCCGAGCCTTGAGTGCATCACACGCCTTGGCAGCGCGAGTAGATCTCATCCGAATCTGATGTGCTTCATCAAGAATGACTCTACCCCATTCTACGGCGAAAAGCGGAGCGGAAGACGCAGCATACCTGGACGATGCTGCTGAATCAATGAATCGCTTATGTTCGGAGCTCAGTGTTCCAAGACTGGTTATCACGACGTCGACAGTCGACGTTTCAAGCCGCGTTACCAGATCTCCTTTTTGGTCGCCATAATCTGCGGAGAAGCGCGATTCAGGGCTCAGCTTCGTTGAGAATGTGCCCCTCCGATTGGACGCTTACACATAGTCGTCTCGAGAGTAGGGCAGGCTCTGCCTAGCTCATCTCGCCACTGCCCTACCAAGCTCATCGGCCCGATCACCAGAGTTGGCTTAGCATTCGTGTTGAGCATTTTGCGTCGATCGGCTCCGTCGTGTCCACCAGCGGCAGCAAATGAGGATGCCAAAGAGACTTGCTTGAAGCCAGACCTTCTAGACCCAATGCTTCCATCTGCCACAGGAGTGGCCAAGGGACTTTCTTCTTGCCCGTCTCGATCTTCGGGTTCCAATGGATTCGACAGTATTAAAGCAGCGAGCTGGATTGTTTTGCCTAGCCCCATCTCATCTGCCAAAATACCGCCGCGTGCACCACGACTAGCCCGCTGAAATTCCAAGCTGAGGTCTCCCGTGTAGGGATTGAAATAGAAGTGGGCATAAGGGTCGTCAAGAAGCGCAATGACGCTCTGAGGCTCTGACTCGTCGGGCGGGAATCTGTATTGCTCCCACAAAGGATGCAGGCTTAAGTGTCTAGCATCGCCCTGACGTTCCGACAAGCTCTTCTCCATGTTGATCATCCACCCCAGAGCTTGCTTTTGGTAGGGTCTCAAAGACAAAGCAAAGTCTGCAGAAGGTTCCACCTCTGGCAAGGCCTGATCCCCCTTCTGAGCTTGAGCGTAGACTGCCTTTAGCTGGTCCTCGGCTAGTTCAGTGCCATCGTTCACCTCGTGCTCCTCTTTGGAAGGATCCTCGACGTCGATCGCGCTCGAAGCCTTGACCGAGTCTTTCTTGATGTCATCGGAAAGCACGATCGGATGCTCTTGAGACCCGCTCTTCTCTTCGCGGTTCTTTGGCCTCTGTGCGCCATCGGCATCTCTCGGTGCGGAACAACTAGAAATACTGGCAGCACCGCCGTACTGCTCGATGGCGTCAGTAGCGTCCAGCTCCTCGGATGTTGCCTGATGCGTTTTCAAAAGTTCGTTCGTCATGCTGGGCTTCAGTGTGCATGCTCGGAAAAGCCGCAGCAAAGCTCCTTTACGCTCTCTAAGTGATTTCTCATTGGCCGTTTCTGCAGTCTCTGCGCCCCAAGGGTTGAACGTCTGATCGTCCGCATCCCGCCCAAAGTTGGATGAGCGGGCTCGTTCGGCAAAAGGGAAAGCTTCTTTGCACAAGTAGGCCTGGCAAAGTGAGGAGGAAGGTAGAGCGGTAGCAGCTCATGTGAGCTCTGGTACTTGGTCTACATCGGCACGGAGCTCACGTTGATTTCTAGCAGGATGTCACATCCCACAGTCAAAGATGAGGGACAGTCCACAACACTCCCGTCAAAGTATGCGATGTCCCTGTCGAGCAGCTTCGACATCCAAGCGCTGACATCCGTATGTATGCGTCCAACCTCAAAGCCTACATCCGCGAGAATGACATTTTTGGGTCAGACGGGCCAACCGGATCTTCGAGCCTGCGAGCCGCAAAGTCCAAGCTCACCTCTAAGGTTTGTGAATCGAACAATGACGTCCTCCTTTTCTTTCGGCTTTTTGGTCATCGGCGATTGGGTCTTGCTGCTACCGAACATGAGCTTTGCCTGCTTTGGCTGGGCTTTCCCCGATGTTTTCTTGCCATTAGATGTCGCCGCGTCCGCGAACGACTTTGGCTTCTGCCTCGTCACCAGGATTCGGTCTCCCTGCTGAATGTAACTGGTGCCTTTGGAAAGCGACCAAGCAGGCACGATGAAAGTGCCGATGAAGCGGCGCTTGAACACCGGTGATCTAGTGGGTGTGATGGCCGATGCCGGCGACGCCGAGCCTCGGGGCGTCCTTCCCTTCGTGTCAGAACTGCTATCCAGCTTCCTCCTCTTCGATGCGGATCCATTCGAGGGAGGAGTCCAGCGCTCGTTCGAAGTCGGCGCCCCTCGCAGAGAGACATCAGCGCTCTCTATCACCTTGACCTCATCATCGCTGCTGTCCTCGAAGAACAGCCCTTCCACTTTGGCCATTGTAAGGGACTTCTATTCTGGCCTGTTGCGCACAGATGCTAGGGTCTCAGCCTAGGCAGGACACCTTTGATGCTACTCAACACTGCGGCCCACGGCGCTGGGTCAGTAGCGTGCCGCGATGTCTGCTGCTGGCCGAGCTGACAATCGTATCGCGAAGCGCTGAGTATGTCGATCAGGCATCAAAATGTCGGGATGATGATTGTCGTTGCCGCAACGTGGTGTTGTTAGCTAAGCGCCACTCGAAATATTCGCACAGCGAGAAATGGTCCCTGTGGAAAGCGCGTCACTCGGTCAATTTACGCGTCAAACACGCGCGCCGCGTGTTGGGATTCGCATGTATCTTATATGAGCGCTAGCTCTCTCTCAATCCCCCGCAGCTCGGCGTGCGTGCAAGGTCGCCAGCTTTTCCATCCATCTAGCTGAACAGATCTCGCTCATCATGCTCGTCGCCGAGCCGCTGCAAGACCATTTGCAGCTTCGACCTGCAGATTGCTTGGAGTCTGGAAAGGCAAGCAAAGCGCAACTGCAGAGATCAAGTTTCTGCTGTTGAGACCAAGTCTCAGGGCTCTCACTCTTTGCAACTAGCCTTTCATTCTCGATTCTATTCGGTGGGGTTGCTGTCACCTCCGGGCAGTCGCGACTGTCTCGTCATCTGCTTCGTCACTTTCAGTTCCGCTCGCACAGTGGGCTTGTCGGCGAGCAAAGCCTCCCCACAAGCCATGCGCTACCCCAGCAGAATGCCTAGTTCGACACGAATTAGCAAACTCGATCAGCATTGGGCTCACAACCGAGTCTGTGAGTGGGCGTGTGCTGCTGAGAGCGATGCACGGAGAGTGCATGGCTCCCCCAACTTGAGCACCTCGCTGCTGGGCGATCAGTATTCTGCGCATCAAAGTCGAGAAATGCATGTATGTATGCTTGAAAGAGCAGTCTGTGACTACAATTTTGTGGGTGGAGGGAGTCATGACAGTGACTTGACAAATCAGGCTGTCGGACCGCTCAGCGTGAGTGTGGGTGAATGCATGTGTACAGCATCGCGGCTCACACGCCAGAAAGTCGCGATGTTCGCAAGGTGGGGGTGACGCGGAAGGTAGGCGAGCATCGAAAGACTCGCGTCATAGTGCGGTGCTTGAATGACGAAACCAAAGAGACGACGCGCTCCAAAAAAGCTGCTTAGAAGCGCAGCGCTTGGAAGAAGTAGCGGCTCTTGCCAGATGCGTATCGTTCCTCGAACAGCTTCTTCACGACCTTCTTGGCATCCTCCTTTTGCGATGGCTCCCTCAAAGTCTCTGGGGACACTGTGCCCTTGAGACCCTCCAGCTCAAGCGCGTAACGAGTAGGTAGCAAGTGGTGGTAGTTGAAAGCCTGACAACAGTGGCAGATCGATGGTCGTTAGCGATCTGGCCCACGCTACCTGCTTCTGTCAAAGTCTGCAACCGATTTCATCTTGGCCTTCCCGTCGACGCCAGCAGCTGGTGGGGAGCCACCACATACGCCAGACTCGTGCTTTATTATCTCCTCGTCCACTGTCTAATCCTCACTGCAACGCGTGCTGACTACCGTGTCCTGCCTCGCCTCAAATCTCTCAATCCCCCTTCGATTCACGCGTGTTCTGTGCTCACCTTGACGAAGGGTTTGACCTTGCTCCTCTGTGCCAACTTCTTCGCGCCCATGCCCTTGGTCACTTTGCGAGGCTCACGCTCGATGCCGGCAACGATTGCGTGAGGGAAAGGGTGCTCGCGGGTTCCCTCATCGTATTGCTTGATGACAACGACCTGCATGAAACGGGCCATGATCAGCTAGCTGCACAAAACTGGAAACAGCTGGAATGCTCACCTTCTTGCCGGCGAAACGGCCCTGGAGGACGACGGCGACCTTG